AACCTTTAGGGGTGTAATAATCCTCCTGAACAGTTGGTGGCAGTGTTTAACAGTTTGAAACATCACCAAGCTCAAAGACGCGATTGTTTTCTTTATGTACAAAACATATGCCTATGTTTAGTTTAGTTTAGTTTGGTTTAGTTTATTCATTCATTTCATTAAAAAAAAACAAAGTAAATTCAGTATACAAAAAAATGCAAATGAAAAATAAAATGAAAGGCGGCAGAAGGAAGAAAAAATCTTATATCTGTGCCTTTTTACATCAAAAGAAATTCAAACAATAATAAAAAACAAAAAAAAAACTAAAATCTTTCTCAGACAATTTTTAAGGATACATATTATGTCATTTCATATTTCTTCAACAGACTGGATTTTACCATTCTCCTAAACATAGATCCTGCACTTTTAATATCATACTCCAGATTATTCCACAATTTTATTCCTTGCACTGAAGTACATCGTTCCTTCAAACTAGTTCGGATTTTAGGTTTCACAAACACCTCTGTCCCTTTTAGATTATAGTAACGTTGTCACTTAACAAAATTTGATTGGATGTTCAAAGGTAATTTATTTTTATGAGCCTTAAACGTAATCTGCAAAACGTTGTACTCAATCAACTCATAGAATTTCAATAATTTCAACTGACAAAATAATGWATTTGATGAGTAATCATATTTTTTGTGCTAATTCTTATAGCTATTTTCTGCAAAAAAACAAAAAACAAAAAAAAAACAGGATTTGTAATTGTTTTACATGCTTTCCCCCAGACTTCAACACAGTAAACCAAATGTGGAACAATCATTACATTATACAACATATACAAAGCTTTACCATTAAACAAATCACTTACTTGTTCTTAAATAATTCACGAGGTCTCCATGTCATCTTTTCATCAATGATGACTCCCAAAAACTTCACTTCACTGACTCTACAGATATCAACACTGTTGACTCTAAATGGAACTTTAACCCTTTTCTTTTTATTGCTAAATAGCATGTAATTCATTTAATCCAGATTTAATGATAATTTATTTAGTTGAAACCAATTTTGTATCTTCATAAATTCTGTCTGCATCCTCTTTAACAGTCATTCTATATCTTTCCCAAACAAAAGAAATTAGCATCATCTGCAAACAAAACACACTTGAAAAACCCTGATACATGTACCAAATCATTTAAATATAAAATAAATAATTTTGGGCTAAGCACGGAACCCTGAGGCACACCACATATAATATCACAGAGTTCAGAATTTTGTTTTTATTGTCTTCTGAATTTTGACATGTTTATTTTATGTTGCTTTTCTGATCTGTCAAAAAACATTTTTATTACTAAAACTGTCATAGTCTGAACTACTACAGAGATAGATAAAAAACAACTTTAAGTTCATAAGTTTTTGTTCAAATGTGATCAGAAATTGAAATGCATTTTAACTAAGCATAAAAAAAACAATCAGGATACCAAAAATGTAAATGTTTTCATATAAAGTTCGTATGAAAGTGAGATTTTACTTAAAGTAAATAGTTTTTATTTTGTTAAGCATCACATATCACCTGCCTCTGTTTTATTTGTTTTAAAACAAAATACACTGGATGGACACGTCTGATTCATTTATTAACAACTATTTTATGTGAATTTTATGTATTTATTTGTTTATGTTGTCTGTTGTGGCGTTCTTTGATTTAGTGTGATGTGAAAAGAACAAAAAATTGTGTAACAAACTTTTATGGCTGATTTTTTTTCTCACGCAACGCTGTGCTTTTATTTTGAATTGGTAAAATTTGTGTTTCCGCTAACTTCCGCTTTTTTTGCTTCTCTGGGATTAAATGTTTTGGAGGTGAGGTTTCTACTGTCTTTTTCTTTTGTACCTTTCAAAAGAAATGTTTGAGTTGCACATATCCTTTTAAAATCTGTCTCGTCTCTTCAGGCTGAGAGGCGCAGTGTCTCCACTGGTTTTGTTGTGATATCACGTCTGCTGTGTGACGCTAAAGTTAGCCGTAAGGTTTGCAGTTTGCTAGTTGACGTTCCCAGACCGGAAATACATTTCAAAACAAATCACACGGAATTTTGGCTCTTCATTTATACATAAAGTGTGCCTTGCCTTGTTTGTCCTAAAGTTAAGTTAATTTTGAAATTATTTAGGTATTATGTTAAAATAAAACATTCGCAGAGGGGCAAAAAAACTGTTAATGTTAGGACTAATCTAAACTAGGAGCTTTAGCTCACGCTAATTTGTGCGACTTTTATTTTGAAGTGGAGTTTTTCTGTTTCCGGCGGGGTTAACGGAAGCTTACTGCAGTTGTTTTGAAAGCTGTGACACCAGCTGAGCGGCACTGCGGTGAGCTGCAGTCCTCCTCTGCTCTCTCCATCACCCGCTTTCCTTCTCTCCGTCATTTTTATTTCCTCTCTCGCTTCTTTTAGGACCTAACTGAGGATGACGACCTGTCAGTGACGGCCTCTCCCCGCCCGCTGGGAGCACAGCTGCTGCGGTGATAACAGCCGGGGTTGCCCTTGACTCGCGCCGGGAGAGGAGGAGGAGGAGGAGGAGGAGTTTGGGGGGTGAAGCCGGGCAGGGACGCGCTGTGTACTTATGGAAGTGACATTGACCGACCCTCGTTGGCAGGACTGTCGGGGATGCTGTCCGGTCTCTGCAMAGTGATCTCATCCCAGCCGGCCGCGGAGCAGCAGCGTCCCGCAGACGGAAGCATCCTGACCGCTGGAGCTCCGCTGGTCGAGCTGAGGAGGCCTGAACGCTCCGGATTAGATGGTGTCAGAAGGCAAGTGTTCACGACTAGATAAACCAAGTGTCCGGAAGCTGTCCTGCCTGCACTGCAGATAAGCTGGAGCTGCAAGCATTCTTTTCTTGCAGCTGTCTTTTTTTTTTGGGGGGGGGGCCTCTTAAACTAGCAGGGGGAGTAAATGCTCAGATGAATTAAACATATGAGCATCAGCCTCTGAACTGTAGAGTTTTAACCCTTAAGCTTAAAAAGATTAAAATAATGGCTGACCAGGAGGAAGCTGAGCTGTCAGAGTCTCTTCAGAAGGAGGATGGGTTTTCCAGTGAAGTGGAGGAGCCGGCCAGCAACTTCAAATCTCAAAGTTTGCCTGTTTTAAATGAAGCAGGGCCTCAAGAGAACACGCTGCTGGATAATACGGCTCGTATGTCCATAACAGCAGAGGAGAGCACTGAATTCATCCAGCTGCCAACCAAGACCGAGTCTTTCCAGCCCGAGTCCCCTACGAGAGCGAACTACCTGCCAAAGCCAGGGAAGGCAGCCCTGAACAGGCCAAGCTCCTACATGGAGAACACTGAGATCCGGAGGAGTAAAACCCTGGCCAGGAAGAAGCCGCCGAGCTTCGTCGCTTCAAGACTAGCTCAGATCCGCCTGCCCAGCAGAAAACACCTGAGAGTGATCTTACAGGACTCCCGCTGCTTCCTGTTCTGCATGTGCTACCTGACCTTCATCCAGTCCCTCATGGTGTCGGGCTACCTCAGCAGCGTCATCACTACCATCGAGAAGAGGTACAGCCTGAGGAGCTCAGAGTCGGGCCTCCTCGTCAGCTGCTTTGACATCGGGAGCCTCTTGGTGGTGGTCTTCATTAGCTACTTCGGAGGCCGGGGTCAAAGGCCACGTTGGCTGGCGGTGGGAGGGATCCTCATAGCCGTCGGCGCCGCTCTCTTCTCCTTACCTCACTTCATCTCCCCGGCCTACCAGATCCAGGAGGTCAACTCGTCCTCGGCCAATGAGGGCCTGTGCTTGAACAGCAACGCCAGCGGCAGGGACCGGGTCGACATCGCTTCCTGCCCCAGAGACCAGGACGGCAACGAGCATCACCTGTACGTGGCGCTGTTCGTCATCGCCCAGATCCTGGTGGGCATGGGGTCCACGCCTATCTACACGCTGGGACCCACCTACCTGGACGACAATGTCAAGAAGGAGAACGCCTCGTTGTATCTGGGTAAGAGTTTTATGGTGGGAAACGTGGAGTTTAACAATATGTTGGGTTTTTTATTTGTAAAACACTTTTTGCACCGTAGTAGACCAAAGTGCTGTACACAATCAGCATTCCAACACAGCTCATACAAAAACACACTCAATCACAATTAAAATAGGAATAAAAAACACAGAAAAATAAAAAAAACATGAAATAAAAAAACAAAGTAAAAACAAGAAAAAAACAATAAAATGCCTAAAACCTAATTTAAAATCTAGAATAAAAACAAAAGAATTCTACAAAAAATAAAATCTAGTATAAATGGACAACACAACCCCTCACACAAAGCCAAAGTAAACAAGTGGGTTTTAAGATGTATGCACCAAACACTCAATATTTGTTGCTATAAATCTGAGGTGGGTACCGTAGAGCAGTGGTTCCCAATGTTGGGCTCGGGACCCACAGTGGGGTCCTGAAACATCAAGGTGGGGTCCTGAAAACATTTTTTGACACAAACAAATGACAACTGAGAACATTTTATTCCTTAAGATTAGTGTACTTAAAATGGACAAAAATAGCGTAATAAATAATGCTACCATGCTCTTGTTGATTTGATGTGAAAACGTGACAACAGCTGGGGGCTCAGGTCTCTGCTGCTGGTGTTTTGTGGTCAAAAGCTGAAAAGTTTGGGAACTACTGCCGTAGAGTACCCAAAAATTGTGCTCATGTAAAAGTAGCACTACTCAGGGTTCATGTAGGCTCTTAAAAAGTCTAAAAAAAAAGTCTAAAATTTGAAAATCAAAATTTTAGGCCTGAAAAAGTCTTAAAAATGGCCAGATTAATTTTAATTTTTCTTAAATCTAATTTTGTCAAGTCTAATTTTTTTTATTTGTTGATCATTTCTTTATTTCTCGGGAGCTGGATTTTATGTTAACAGAGACGTGGCTTCGAGCCGGGTATTTTACTCCATTTTCTGAACTTCACCCTCCTGACTGCGGGTTCTTCAGTGCTCCCCGGTCTTCTGGAAAAGGTGGAGGAGTCGCTGTCGTCCACAAATCTTGTTTTATATGTCGACGGCTTCTAGTGGACAGTAGGGGTGTAAGAAAATATCGATACACTGATATATCGCGATATTTCATTTCCCGATACTGTATCGATATTCTAAAGCCCTGAATCGATTTTTTATTAACGTTTAAAACGTCAACTTTCCTGCCAGCCGTTCATTTTTATGTTGTAGTTCAGCCTCTGACTGCTAGGTGGCAGCAGCGAGCCAGCCATTTGGCTCCTCTACCTCTTGAGGGCCAGAGAGTAAGGGTAGCATTAGCATTGTGAGTAAACATTAGCTTCATGCTCTGATAGCTGAATCTGAGCGGAAAAGACCGACACCCTCTGCCTTCTAAGCTGAGGTAAGGTTACAAACAGTTACTTATTTGTCAGAATGTCTGTATTTTAAGACAAGTTAAGTGTCTTGTGCGCTCTTTTTTCCAACGTTATGGAAGGCAAGCAGGCAGGTGTGCATGTAGCGCATGTCTAATAATCGAAAACATGGATGAAATAAGAAATATGAAACAAATAAAATACAAACAAAGCAGAACACAGCTAAATGTATCAAAAGTATGTCTATGTAATATTAGAATTTCTGAGACAATGAATTTAGGTTGTTTTTTTTTTTTGGTAAGAGGTTTTTATTTCATAGAATATTTTGGGCAAAAAAAAATCGCAATATATCGGGATATATCGTATCATGACCCGTCTGTCATGATATGTATCGTATCGCCAAATTCTTGCCAATACACAGCCCTAGTGGACAGTTATTCCAGCTTTGAAGCACAACTAGTAGAAATAAAATGTGACTCTCCAGCGTTGTGTGTAGTGATCTACAGGCCGCCAAAATGAGATGGACTTTTTCTTTCTGATTTTGCAGACTTTTTGTCTATGATCGTTTTAGATTATGATCAGATTTTAACTGTTGGTGATTTTAACATACATGTCTGCTGTAAAAAATAAGCCACTTGCAAGTGATTTTTAAAATTTGATTAGTTCTTTTAATTTTACACAGATTGTAAGTGGTTCCACACATGAAAAGGGTCACACATTGGACTTGGTGTTAACTTATGGGC